TGCCTAACAAGACAAGGAACTCAACAACTATTTCCCTCTTCTCCCAAGTTTCCCTTTATAAATCATGCATACTCAGAGATTGGTTAATGCCAAACCTAAAAGCAGACTCATCACAGGGCCCAAGTCAGAAGATTGCCAAAGTTACCATGCTCTCAAAATTCGTAGAGTTCCAGATGGTCCCTTTTACATTTAGAGCTGAAAAAAGTCCAAGGGAAAACTTTTGCTAAGACCCTGAGCTGCCTGAACCAGAGTCCCAATATGATTAAGGGAATCAAATTAATGTTGTCTAGGTTGGGTGTGTGGACAATTAGGTGGTCCCCCATGATTGCTGCAGGACTCTATGATAGTAGGGATTAAGCCCTTTTTTTCCTGAGTCAATAATTTATTTTTAACAACCCTCATTACTTTCTCCACATATAATATGACCCCTCTCCTTTGCTTTACTTTTGGTTTAATTTTTTGGTCCAAAAGTTAGAACAGACCCTTTCTAAGTGTTTAAATACATAAACTATGTAAAACTATGTACAGTGCCTAGGACTATTTTATCATGATGTAACAAAATGATTCTATAGTTCACAGAATGAATAACCGGATGAGGAAGGAGATCAGTAGAAATTTTGAAAAATGAATATTGAAGGAGGACCAGTCCCTCCAGAAAATAAGACATATTACAGAATTACACAACTCTTATCAGTACAGTATTCATGTAAAATTATGTAGAAGGAAAAATGAATGGAACAAAAGAAATGAGTCAGAAGTATTAATAGATTCTGGTAAAGAAATCATCATAAGACTCTAGATTCTGATACAGGAATCATCACTAATAAATTATCCTGATACAATTAAGTAACCATTGTGCAAAAAATCAAAATAAACAAAATAAATTCCAGACATATAAAAAATGAAGCTTTATAATTTACTAGTAATACCCAGAAAAATTTAATTTAACAAAAATTTAACAAAAATGTTTATTGAAGCATTATTTACAGTATTAAACAATTAAATACAATTTATATATGTTAGGAAAATGGCTAATTATGAGGCAAGCGTATATGCAAAATTACTTTTGGCTCATACGTAGAATAAAAGGTTTAGCTTCAAATCCTGTTTTAAGCTGTTACCCAACTCATATAGTCTTTCCTCAAAGAAAACAGGAAAATATTAGCAATAGAATAATAATCTTCAAAGAGATACATCTGTGTGTGCCTCACTTTGCCCACTATAAGGCTGAAAAATGTTAACTCTAACTATGGTAGTAAAAACAAATATATATTAATATAGTACATATGATATATATTTTATATGTATTTATACACACTTTTTATTACATGACCCCTTTAAAAATATATGATAAAATATTTTCAAGTATTCATGTCGAAATGGAGAAAAGAAAGCTCATCTTTTTAAGCTTTGAGTAGTATGCCCATAATAAACTTTAAAGTGTGGAATCATGTGAAATATATGGGTAAACTGGTATAAGTCATGGAATATTTGTATCAACCTTCCAGGCCTCATGCATTATAGTGAAAACATCCTTCTTAGTGGTCTTGATTTTTAATAGATTCTATTAGGAAGAAATTGTCTGTTGTATGGGCTTAAGAAATCTATAAAATTGTCTAGTGGTGACTATTAAGGCCATCTAATAATTAATGTGTGCTTTTTAAGCCTACAGATAATAAATAACAAAAGTAAGACCCAACTCTAGGTCCTTTTGACTATCATTTTGGGGATTATTCTGCCATATAACCAATATTGGTAAACTTCTTCATTCATATATATTAAGGCCTAAATGTAGTTTATAATTTGTTGTTACTCAGCTTGACGGTACCTGGGAGCCACCATTTT